TGTTCACTATATGGGTGTACCATTATATAGTGGGTGTGTTGTTTACTACATGTATATGGGAGTACCACTGTATAGTCGGTTTGTTATTCACTATGTGGGTATACCAATGTATAGTGGGTGTGTTGTTCACTATATGGGAGTACCACTGTATAGTGGGTGTGTTGTTCACTATATGGGAGTACCACTGTATAGTCGGTTTGTTATCCACTATATGGGTATACCATTGTATAGTGGGTTTGTTGTTTTCTATTTGGGTCTGCCGCTGGATGATGGGTATGTGACTATATTTGTGTGTCTTTCACTGTATGGAGGTTACACTTTTTGTCACTTTGAGTATGGTTTGTCACTGTATGAATACAGTTATTTGGTACTTTGATATATCATGCACACAAAGATATATTGTGCACCATGAAAACTATTCTGACTGAGCTGTGTTCAGCTGAATGTGATATATTAGAAACTTACAGGATATTTTTAGTTCACAATGCATACCCTTAAGGAATGTGCATCAGCAAATTTGTAAAAATCCAATATCAAACATTCATAAAAAATTTCTAGTGGTCTATATTAAAGCGTGGTGGTCGTCGCGCAGCGCATGTTCGAATTTCATGTAAATAAACAATGTATTTTACACGCGTTGTATACGTCGCTATGAGCTATGTTTAAGTCAGTGAGATTTCACATGGTACGTATGTTGACAATACTTGCCCTGCATTCTATCTTTATAGGAAGTAATAATACAGAACAAAGTGGAAAAGAAATTAACCTTGGAAACTAAACTGATAGGGGAGCTGAACACTACCAGGATTGCTGCTGGTCATGAACCGTTGTCTATTCCTCATATCTATGCAATGGCTGATAAAGAGAGGACGTACAAGAAGGTAAAGTCTCGTTTTAAAGATTCTTGTTAACCACAATACAGCATGAGTTGTGTTAGCTTTGTTGTAGTGACTATAGACATTTCACTGAGCATTCATCTGTACTGTGTCATGTTTTGGTACATTGCTTTAATGCATGGCAGCATTTGCTGTTTAGACCTGTTTGTCACTTTCATGTGTGTGTGTGTGGGGGGGGGGG